AGGAAAGTAGAGAGCAGACAGGAAAGCATTGGGTGGAGAGATCAGCAAAGGACCTGGAGACAGGAATCAATCTCGGCTCACTGTGAGCACAGTTGTGCTAGTGTTGATGCACTAACCACAAGGCTATTGGTGCCAACTTAGATCATTTATTTAATATAAAATGTAATAATAATTTAGATGATATTTTTTCATATACATTTAAAAAATAACATTTTGACACAAATATTTATTTAATAATTTTATTTTAGAGCATAATTATTTACATAAAATTGGATAATTTAGATCATAATTTATTTTGTATAAATTCAAAAATAAACATTTTGACACAAAATAAGAAATTAATATGTTTTTATAAATTAATATAAAATTAAGTAATAATTATGTAGTAATTATTATTAGATTAAGTAATAATTATTAGATTATTAGATTAGAAAGTAGTATTAGTATTTATTTTAATTAGTGTTACAAGTAGTACTGAATAGTATATACTGTATTAAATTATTTGGATTAAGTACTAAATCTAAATTGAATAATAATTTAGACCATTGTTTTCATATGAATTTAAAAAAGAAACATTTTGACGTAAATAAGAAATTAATATTTATTCAATAATAATCTATTTCAAATAAAATTGAATAATAATTTATTTAATATAAATTTAAAGCAAAAAAACTAGTATTAGTATTTTAATAAATGTAAGTATTACTAATAGTAATCATTTATTTGAAATAGAAATCTTTTGTTACATTATAAATGTCTTTACTGTCACTTTTGATTACTTTAATGCATCATTGCTGAATAAAAGTAGTAAGTTCTTTAAAAAAAGTACTAAATACATTGAAATTGAATTGAAAATTATTTAGAATTTACTTAACTTTTAAATACATAATTTAAATAATATTTTAAAATGTAATATTAATATAATTAAATGCACTGTTTTAGGTTACTAATTAAAAATAAACTAATGAATTCTATTTGTACATGGATCATCAGGTTTTGTTCATGTCAGCTTTAGTGCTGCTGTTATTTAAGCAAAAAGGGGACACGTCAGATGCTAATAAATGATGAAATTCGTTAATTTTTTAGTTCAACTTCTTTATTTAAACTGTTATGTTAATAATGTGATATGTAATTCTAAACAGTATTAAATTAAAAAGGAAAAAAGGAAAACACAAGCATTTTAATGCACAAATGGACTTTTGGACCCCACTATAATGAAGCAAGATGAAAATGCTTATAACCTCACCATGCACAGCACTTTCTGCTGTAATGGCACACACAGATTCTGGGTAACATTGACAGGCCTTAAGGCCACGTGATGACGACTTTCTAGGTCAAATGCTGCCCAAAGCCAAGACAGCCAGAAAGGAGGGGGGAGAGAGAGACTGAGGGGAAGCAAAACGGGGGAGAGCATGCACAAAGTGGAAACAGACGTGCCTAAAAATAAACCATCTGAAATATTTAACTTACTGACCCAGAAACTGCATCACTGTAATCATATCTATGCTCCAGCAGAGGGGTCGGCAACAGCGAGAGTATGATATCATTAATGTGGAGTATGGAAATCATAATGAAACAGGAAGAAGAAACCCCCTGGGAAATTCGCCTGCAAACATGTAGCCAAGAAAAATCCTGTGAATCCAGGACGCTTTAATCGCTCTGTCCACTCTTATAGAATTGTCTAGAATCAGTGAACTTTTAATGCAATGTGTGTCACTGGGCATCAGTTCAGTATGTGACTCACAGAGCCCCTGTGAACACAAATAAACAACTGAGCTAATGGCGAGCAGGAACCTTTGGAACTCGGTTATATATAAGATTAAAAATACTAAATATTGTGACATTTTATTATCATTTTAAAACTCTGTATTCTATTTGAATATATTTTAAAATGTAATTTATTCCTGCAATGCAAAGCTGAATTTTCAACATCATTATTCCAGTCTTCAGTGTCATTATTATTATCGTCAGTGTTGTAAACAATGTGTTGCTTAATACATTTTTTTAGGATTCTTTGATTAAAAAAGGTTCAAAAGAACAGCATATCTGAACATGTTCTATATTAGAACATTATAAATGTAGACACTTTAGTGTCACTTTTGATTAATTTAATGCATCCTTTCTGAATAAAAGTAGTAATTTCTTTAAATAAATAAATACATACATAAAATTAAACATAAATAAATGACTGACTCCAATCTGCAGACTATTTCAGTAGAATCTATTTTAGAGGGCTCAAAAA